GGAAGATGTGCACAGCAGGGTTGTCCCAGACAGCAAACAACCCAAATGTCAAAAACATGTGACCCAGGCACCTCGCTGGCTCAGTCGGTAGAACATGCTACTCTTGATCTCAGGGTCGTGAGTTTGAGCCCCACGTTGGGTGTAGAGATTACTTAAACAAACCAACAGACGAGTGTGAAAACACACGCACACAGACAGAGCTGTGTAACAGCTCCAGGCAGTGCAGCACCGTGCACTGTGAGCTTGGGTGGGCTGCCCCCAGATAGGCGGCATCAGTCAGTTTCAGTTGCAAGTGAAAGAAACAAAACACACACAAAATAGTTTTATTGCGTGAATGTGTGATTAAAAAATAGACACACCTCAGATAATTTGTTTAGGGTTATCTTCAAAGATGGTGGGACTTAAAAGCAAGGAAACAGTTGCCTTAAAACTCAGGACAGTGGTGTCCTCAGGTGAACAGCTGTGATGTGGCTATGTCTTGGATGCTGCCTCGTTTTATTTGTTGGTGAGTGATGGCTCCACCAGTGTCGAGTCATAATTGCTTGCTAAAATTATTTCTGTGTTCTATACATTTGTCTGTATATGTTATATGTCCCGATTTTATTTTTTATTTTTAAAACATTTTTAAAAATTTATTTCTGAGAGAGAGAGACAGAGGCAGTGTGAGCAGGGGAGGGTCAGAGAGAGAGAGAGACACAGAATCCGAAGCAAGCTCCAGGCTCTGAGCTGTCAGCACAGAGCCCGACGCGGGGCTTGAACCCATGAACTGTGAGATCGTGACCTGAGCCGAAGTCGGACGCTTAACTGACTGAGCCACCCAGGCGCCCCCTGATTTTATTTTATTTATTTTTTTTGGGGGGGGGGGCTTTTATTTATTTTATTTATTTATTTTTAACAAATAATTTATTGTCAAATTAGTTTCCACATAACACCCAGTGCTCATCCCCACAAGTGCCCTCCTCCATGCCCATCCCCCCCCCCCATCCATCAGTCCTCAGTTTTTGTCAGCATTCAAGAGTCTCTCATGGTTTGCCTCTCTCCCTTTCCCCCACCATTTCCCCCCTTCTTCTCCCCTTTGTTCCCCAGTTAAGTTCCTCCTAATCCTCCTATACGTGCAAACATATGATATTTGTCCTTCTCTGCCTGACTTATTTCGCTCAGCATAACACCCTCAAGGTCCATCCATGTTGCTACACATGGCCAGATGTCACTGTTTCTCATTGCCATGTGGTATTCCATGGTATAGATAAACCACATCTTCTTGATCCATTCGTCTGTTGATGGACACTTAGGCTCTTTCCATGTTTTAGCTATTGTGGACAGTGCTGCTATGAACATTGGGGTACATGTGCTCCTATGCCTCAGCATTTCTGTATCCCTTGGGTAAATTCCTAGCAGTGCTATTGCTGGGTCATAAGGGAGTTCTAGTGTTAGTTTCCTGAGGAACCTCCACACTGTTTTCCAGAGGGGCTGTACCAGTTTACATTCCCACCAACAGTGTAGGAGGGTGCCCGTTTCTCCACATCCTCGCCAGCATCTGGAGTTCTCTGATTTGCTCATTTTAGCCACTCTGAGTGGCGTGAGGTGGTATCTCAGTGTGGTTTTGATTTGTATTTCCCTGATGAGGAGGGATGCTGAGCATCGTTTCATGTGTCCGTTGGCCATCTGGATGTCCTCTTTGGAGAAGTGTCTGTTCATATCTTCTGCCCATTTCTTCACTGGGTTGTTTGTTTTTCGGGCGTGTAGTTTGGTGAGTTCCTTATAGATTCTGGATATTAACCCTTTATCTGATATGTCATTTGCAACTATCTTTTCCCATTCCGTTGGTTGCCTATTAATTTTCTGGGTTGTTTCCTTGGCTGTGCAGAAGCTTTTAATCTTGATGAGGTCCCAACAGTTTATTTTTGCTCTTGATTCCCTTGCTTTTGGGGATGTGTCAAGTAAGAAGTTGCTGCGGTGGAGGTCAAGGAGGTTGTTTCCTGCTTTCTCCTCTAGGGTGTTGATAGTTTCCTGTCTCACGTTCAGGTCCTTTATCCATTTTGAGTTTATTTTTGTGCATGGTGTGAGAAAATGATCTAGTTTCATTCTTCTGCATGTTGCTGTCCAATTCTCCCAACACCATCTGTTAAAAAGGCTTTTTTTCCATTGGATATTCTTTCCTGCTTTGTCAAAGATTAGTTGGCTGTATACTTTTGGGTCCACTTCTGAGTTCTCAATTCTGTTCCATTGGTCTCTGTGTCTGTTTTTGTGCCAATACCATACTGTCTTGAGGATGACAGTTTTGTAGTAGAGGCTAAAGTCTGGGATGGTGATACCTCCCGTTTTGGTTTTATTTTTCAGTATTACTTTGGCTATTCGGGGTCTTTTGTGGTTCCATACAAATTTTTGGATAGTTTGTTCTAGTTTTGAGAAGTATGCTGGTGGAATTTTGATTGGAATTGCATTGAATGTGTAGATTGCTTTAGGTAGTAATGACATCTTAACTATATTTATTCTTCCTATCCATGAGCATGGAATGTTTTTCCATTTCTTTGTGTCTTCTTCAATTTCCTTCATAAGTTTTCTATAGTTTTCATCATACAGATCTCTTGTATCCTTGGTTAGGTTTATTCCTAGGTATTTTATGGTTTTTTGTGCAATTGTGAATGGGATCCCCCGATTTTATTTTTAAAAAGAATATGCCATTGACAATAGTGTGTATGTACAAAGTCTAGGGATAGACCTGACCAAAGATGTGCACACCCTTTAAAGAAGAGCTGGATGAGTGGGTTCACAGTTTGGGTGGAAAGCGTGTCTGATCCTCCTGCCGTAGACCCAGCAGAGGTGCCAACAGGCTGGTTCTGGAGTTTGTGGGGAAGAACGAGGGCTGGGAATAGCCAAGACAGGCCTGAAGAGGAGGTGGGGACTTGGGAAGCACAGACTGTCCACAGCTGTTATGCTGAGGACACCTGCGTGCTGGTCGGACTCACGCTGACCCGTAGAGTCATTAGTACACTCGGACACCGCTCCGTCGTGCAGGGAGGGGCTCCGCGTGCAGCAGATCATCACCAGAGCCTGGCCCTGCAGGCACCTTGCACTGAACGACCAGACTGCGAAAGGAAACGTCTGTGGTCTGTACGCTGCCCCCCCCCCCCCGCCTGGTTGTTATAGCACCCTCCTTGGCCAAGACTATTTCAAAACAAAAAGTTAAAAATTTGCAGGTGAAGCTGGGTGCTCAGTAGTAGAGGCCCCATTGGCCTCCCTGGGAGGGGGGTGTGGTCTGTGAGCCCCATGGGGAGGGCCACTGTCCATGTGGGTCCTGGGGGCTGCGGCATCAAAGGCACCCAGCCATCTAGTGGCGTCCCCCTTCCCTGGAACAACAGCCTCGGGTCACTCCCCCTCGTGCTGGGTGTGCTCTGCTTGTGGTCCTGGGACAGTGGGGCTCCACCCTGCGCCCCCGGACAGCGCCACCACCCTCCAGCCGGCTGCTCCTTACCCTTCTGTCAAGACCGAACGGCCCGCACCGTGGCCTCACCACCTTCCCTTTGCTGTTCAAGTGCGGTGAGGTCAGGAGGGCTGTCTGCTCGCCCCTCCCCACCCTTTCTCTCACAAGCCCTGCTGCTCACACTTGGCCTGAACCAGCTGGCCCTTCTGTGGCGCCCCACGGGCTGGTCCTGCATCCGGCCCCGCAGTGCTCCCTTCTCTCTCTGCCCTCCCTCACCCCTGCGCCCCCCCAGCTCTCTGCCTCCTGCCCCTGAGGTGGCGACTTCCTTGTGTGCCCCCATAGCAGCGCCCTATCCCTTCCTCGAAGACTGACTCCACACTGTGCTGTGCCAGGCGCCCACACCCAGGCGCTGGCCGAGACAGGGACCCAGGACCCATCCAGCTCTCCCCACCAGCTTCCAGAAGCATCTGCTGACCCCGAAAGAGGCCGCGGAGCCTCAGAGCTGCTGGGAGTGCAGAGTGAGTGATGGGGCTTGTGCTCCTCTTCCCAGTGTGGGGAGTCTGGTCCTGAGAGAATGAGCCCCGCTGTGTTTCCACCTGGAGGGTCCCAACTTCCCCAGCAGGGCTGAGGAATGACCCCATCACAGGGTTCTGGAGCAGCGGGAAGACCCACAGACATAAAACCCCACACGGCAGAGCGGCCTGTGGCATGTAAAGGGTTGTTAATTTGTGTGGAAACTTGGAAGCAGAGTAAAAATGTGCCAGATGTCAGCCAGACACACCCTGATAGCACACATACGGGCTTTAAAATTGCCTTATTCATGGGGCGCCTGGGTGGCTCAATTGAGTGAGTGTCTAACTCTTGATTTCAGCTCAGGTCATGATCTCAGGGTCATGGGATTGAGCCCTGTGTCAGATTCTGTGCTTAGCATGGAGCCTGCTTGGGATTCTCTCTCTCCCTCTGCCTCTCTCCCCTGCTTGAGTTCACACACTCTCTCTCTTTCCAAAATAAAAAATGAAAATAAAATGTCCTTGTTCTGAATAGCTTCGGTTTGCATACATTGTTTTCCAAGTCCTCTTTTACGTTTAAAACCTTAGCAGGATGAAAGCTGTATCCCTGGGGTGGGGGGCCCTCTGGAGGCCCCTGGAGGACATGGCTCAAGACCGTAGGATCACCTCCCAGCCGGGTCCACTATGGAGACAGGGGTGTCCACTCCCGCAGATGGATGGGCAGTTGAGAGCAGCTTGTCCAGGTTCCCGTGAGGCCACCCGAGAGGCGCTTGGCACACGAGCCCGCAGAGGGCTGGACGTTAGTGAGCATGTGGAAAACCAGGGCGTCAGTTTGGCTTGGGTTTCTTGTACGAGTGATAGGATTTCTTGTATTTGGGAGCCGGTGGAGGTGAGAAAGGGTCTGACGCTGGGGTCAGGGTCTACTGCCACCGACAGCGGGGGACACAGCACACCTCCTGATGGACAGCCGCTTCTCCGCTCCAACCTCCCTGTCCTGGGCCAGGCTCACGACCCCCCTGTCCGCCGAAGCCAGCGCTCCCGCTAACACTCCTCTTGCTCTCTCGCAGGCTGGAGTGGGTGGAGATCATCGAGCCGCGCACCCGAGAGCGCATGTATGCCAACCTGGTCACGGGCGAGTGCGTGTGGGACCCTCCTGCCGGCGTCCGCATCAAGCGCACCAGCGAGAACCAGTGGTGGGAACTGTTTGACCCCAACACTTCCCGCTTCTACTATTACAATGCCAGCACCCAGCGCACCGTGTGGCACCGGCCGCAGGACTGCGACATCATCCCTCTGGCCAAGCTGCAGACCCTGAAGCAGAACACCGAGTCACCCCGCGCCTCGGCGGAGAACAGCCCCGGGCGGGGCAGCAGCGTCAGCCGCGAGGGCAGCACCAGCTCCTCCCTGGAGCCCGAGCTGGATGCCGGCGAGAAGGTGCAGGAGCCTGCAGGGAGGGCCAGCCGGCAGGCCGCTTTCGGGGCTCTGAAGGAAGAAAGCAGCAGGTGAGGCGGGCTGGGTGGCCACCCCTCGAGTGGTGGAAGGGGCCTGAACCTCATGCAAACAGCTGCCTGCGCCAGCCGCCACCCTTACCCTCAGAATGCCCTCGTATCCATTTGGCCAGAGCCTCTGTGGGGTGAGGAGGACCAGGTCTGTGGGGGTGAGGAGGACCCAGGTGTGTGGGGATGAAGAGGACCCAGGTCTGTGGGGTGAGGAGAACCCTAGTGTGTGGGTGAGGAAAACCCAGGTCTGTGGGGTGAGGAGGACCCAGGTCTGTGAGGTGAGGAGGACCCAGGTGTGTGGTGTGAATAGGACCCAGGTCTGTGGGGTAAATAGGACCCAGGTCTGTGGGGGGTGAAGAAGACCCAGGTCTTTGGGGTGAGGAAGACCCAGGCCTGTTCCCCTGCTGGCTGGCCTCTGGCGGGACATGGGTTGCAGGTCTTTCCCAGACCAGTTGTCAGGAGGCATCAGGCTGAGGGTCTTCTGGCTTATGACTGTGAGATTATTGGGTCTGTCCACTGTGGGAAGCATGAATGTAGCATTAGGACCCAGCAGAAGTGCTCTGTATCCCATGTGCCCCCAGACCCACACTCAGCAGGCACTGCTTCAGGCCCAGAACTCAGGGAGCCAAGTCCAGAAGGAGTGGCTGGTCAGAAAGGTGCTGGGACAGTGTGTGCCCTGGTGACAATGAGGTGACAAACCAGGGAGAATGTAGGGATGCAGTATTGGCCTTGGAGGCCAGGCGGGGACAGGGTGGTAACAATGGGGCGGGTAAGGCCAGAGGGGGACAGGCTGACGTTCACTCAAGAACAGTGGAAACCACAAAGTGACCAGACCTGGTTTATGCACCAGGGGCCATGTTGCTCCTGTGGAAAGGGTGTCCACAGTCCCGAGGGTGGAAACAGGGCTGGCTGGCAGCCGTTGGCAGGAGCTGGATGCTCATTCCTTTGTGGCGCGGTCAGGTGGGTGTGCTAGCAGATTTGGGGTGCTTTTTGGGGCAGAACAGCTGGCTGTGGGGAAGCTGGATGGGGAAGGTGGGGGTCACATACAAGGGTCAGATCAGTGTGGATGATGGCGCTGGGGGCAGAAATTTCCTTCTTTCCGCCCAGGATTCTTCTAACTGGGTTAGGAATTAAATTGACAGAAGACAGATTAACAGGAGAAAAAATAAACAGTTTTATTTGGTGCACACAGAGGTCCAGCAATGAAATTGAGACCCCATGAAATGACCAAGGCAGTAGTTTTTATACATTTTGGACCAAGAGACAATAAGTTTGTGAGGAATTGATAGGATAAAACCTTTGCAGGGCACCTGAGTGGCTCTGTCGGTTAAGCGTCTGACTCTTGATCTTGGCTCAGGTCATGATCTTACGGTTTGTGGGTTCAAGCTCTGCGTCGGGCTCTGTGCTGACAGCTCGTAGCCTGGAGCCTGCTTCAGATTCTGTGCCTCCCTTTCTCTCTGCCCCTCCCCTCCCCTGTCTCTCTCTCTCTCTCAGAATAAATAAACATTATAAAAATAGAAAAGAGATCTTTGGGAGCTTTACCGGTGAGGAATTCTAAGCAGGATGTGGGTTGAGGCAGTAGATTCATAAAAATGTTAACAAAGTCTCTTTCTCCAGCTTTCTCAGGTGGGAAGTCCCTACCTCTGGTGATAAGGGTGTCTTTTTACTTGTTAGCACAGGGAGGGTGTTTTTCATGTGGGATGCTTACTTCCTGCTCTCAGGGGACAGAGGTGTGTCTGATGACCTTGTACCGGGGTTTCCCAAGTACTTTCAGTGCAAAAATAATAGTTTGCATCGTGGCACATTTTGAGGTGGCCTGCCCTGGGCCCCTGCATTGGACACACACCAGAGGTCAGAGGCCAGAGAGACAGTGGCTGGGTGGGCATGAGGAGGTTCAGAGGGGCTTTGGGGGGTTGTCCCCAGAAAGTGGCGCTTCCGCTGGTGAGGTTGAGCCCCAGGCATGAGCACTGAGGAGAAAGCAGACGGCTGCAAGGGCTCTGCCTCTGGGTCCCTGTGAGGCCCACGCTGTGTGCAAAGGCCTGAGTTCCCTCAGATCAAGGAGCTCCAACAGCTCCTGGGCTCATCAGATAAAGTCTCAGTTTTATGGGATTGTGGTGCTTTTTAAGTCTTTATCCTATTGGTTGCTGACTCATTTCTGTAATTAGGTAGACAGATTGGATTCTTTTTAGGATTCTGTTCACAAATGTGTCTGTCACTCACACTCGGGGCACCAGCTGGAGAAGCAGACCACCCTTCCCTGCCCTGCACCCTGCTGCCTGGGGGTGGGAGCATCCTTTCCAGGTGGCTTGGATGTTCTGTGGGGATGTGGGGTGACTGGGTCATGTGGGGCCGGGATTTCCACAAGAGACCCTCTTTGGATTTGGAGTAGAGCTGTGTTGAGTTTATGGGTCAGTGTGGGGGACGTGTGCATCTCTGTTCTTTGTCTTCTCCCATGTTAAGATGGTGTGTGTTACACTTCTCTCCACGAAGGACTTGCATATCCTTTATGGTTTATTTCCAGGTTCTTTATCTATTTTATATTTCTTTTTATTTTTTATTTATTTGTTTTTTGAGATGTTTATTTATTTTTGAGAGAGAGTGAAAGTGGAGTAGGGACAGAGAGTGGGGGACAGAGGATCCAAAGTGGGCTCTGCGCTGACAGCATCGAGCCCAATGTGGGGCTCGAACTCTCAAACCATAAGATTGTGACCTGAGCCAAAGTCGGATGCTCAACTGCTGAGCTACCCAGGTGTCCCTAAAGTCCTGTCTTGGGGCGCCTGGGTGGCTCAGTCAGTTGAGTGTCTGACCCTTGATTTTGGCTCAGGTCATGATCTCATGGTTTGTGAGATCAAGCCCCGTGTCAGGCTCTGTGCTGACAGCGTAGAGCCTGCTTGGGATTCTCTCCCTCTCTCTCTCTGCCCCTCATGTACACTCGCGTGTGCACTCATTCTCTCTCTCTTTCAAAATAAACAAACTTAAAAAATAAAAAAAAGTCTTCTCATCGTTCCTGGTACATACACATAGATTGTTATATATCAGTCTTATTTCTGGGCTCTTGCTGATCTAACACCAGGCCTGGCCTCGTCCCAGTGCCCAGGTTGCAGACCTGTCCCTGTGGTGCTGTGACACTGCCAGGCTGTGACACCGTCAGGCGCAGAAAGTCCACCTTCTGTTGTCAGGCTCTTTACTGTGAATAGATGTACCATTTTATCGAATGTATTTGCTGAGACTGTTGATATCAGTGTTACAGGTTGAACTGTGTCTGCTTCCAAGAGATATGATGAAGTCTCAACCCCCAGGACCCCAGGACGGGCCCTTATTTGGAAATAGGGCTCTTGATATGTAGTTAGTGGAGTTGTGATGAGGTCACATTGGAGGAGGCGCCTTAATCAGGTAGGACCCGTGTCCTGTTGAGAACAGAGACACGAGGAGAATACCCTTGGCAATGGAGGAAGAGACAGATGGATGCGTCTGTCCCAGGATCCAAAACCCAGGATTGCCAGCATCAGCAAAACCCAGGAGCCAGAGAAAGGCCAGGAATAGTCCCTCAGAGCCTCTGGAAGGAAGCAGCCCTGCCCACAGCTGGAGCTTGGACTTTCAGCCTCCAGAACAGGGAGAGCACGACTTTCTGTTGTTTTAAGCTGCCGGTTAGCGGCGCTTTGTTACAGAGGCCCCGGGGCCCAGCCTCAGTCAGCATTTAATTCTAGGTTTCTTGCATTCCTAGAATACCCACCCGGTCCATGACATTTTCAAAATAGATTCAGATTGCTAACATTTTATTAAGGATTTTCTCCTGTGTTGATACGTAAAACTGGCCCATACTTTCCTTCTTGTGTGTTTGTCTGCAAGCATTTCCTCTGAAATGACCTGCTCCCAGGCTGTCTGGCAGCACACTTGCACACCACCTGGGCCTGTGGTGGTGTGCACACACTTGCACACCACCTGGGCCCATGATGGTGTGAAAACGCATTGCCTGGGCCTGTGGTGGTGTGGATACACTTTAAATGTGGTGTGAACACATTTAACTACTGACTCCCTGTCTTTAATATGTGCAGCAATATTCAGGTTTTTTGACATCTCGAATCCAATTTTATAGTATTTCTTTTTTTTTATTTTTGAGAGAGGGGGCACAAGTGAGCGAGGGGTCAGAGACAGACAGACAGACAGACAGACACTGTCTTGCAGGCTCCGCACTGTCAGCACAGAGCCCAATGTGGGGCTTAAACTCATGAACCCTGAGATCATGACCTGAGCCAAAATCAAGAGTCAGACGCTTAACTGACAGAGCCACCTAGGTGTCCCCAATTGTAGATATTTTCTGATTTAAAAAAACGTTTTTAAGTAATCTCTACAACGAACATGAGACTCAATCTCATGACCCCAAGATTAGGAATCGCACACTTCACTGACTAAACCAGCCAGGTGCCCAGAATATTTTCTTATGTTAATTATGATTTCTTCCTTAACTTGTTCATAACTTAGAAGTGTCCTAATTTACAAAACTGTAGGGTTTTTTTTTCATTCTTGTTCTTTGTTGCTAACTTAATTTCATTTTGGTCAGAAAGCATGATTTTTGTTTTTATTTTTGTTTTTGAGACTTGCTTTGTGGCTTAAATCCTGAATTTTTGTAAATTATTTTATGACTATTTCAATAATAATTTCTTTTCCATGTTTGTTAGGTCTGGGGTTCTATGGATGTTTGTTAGATCAAGTCTGTTGTTTGTGTTGTTGTTGTTTTTTAAGTTTATTTATTTATTTTGAGGGATAGGGGCAGAGAGAGAGGGGAGAGAGAGAAAGAATCCCAAGCAGGCTCTGCACTGTCAGCACAGAGCCCGATGCAGGGCTTGAACCCACGAACCATGAGATCATGAGCTGAGCCGAAATCAAGAGTCAGCCGCTTAACCGACCAAGCCCCCTAGGCGCTCCAGATCAAATCTGTTGTATCAGTCAAGTTTCTTACTGATTTTTTTGTCTGCCTGATATATCACTTCTGAAGAGGTAGA